TAACTTTGGATTTTCTTGGGGTCCAGGCGGGGCTCTCCCGAGGTCCTCTTGTGGGCCTCACGGGGCCCACTTGGGGCTCCCTTGAGCCCTCAGGCAGGCTTCCAGAAATTGTTGGCGCTCCGCGTGTCCCCACCAGCCCGTCCAAAAAATCACCAGGCGACTTGCCCTGATCATCAGGAGGAGCGATGAGGGCGAAGGGATGAGCCAGGAGGGAGGGGTGATATACAATAGCAGTTGAATACGAGAGTGGTCATGGACAGCAGTGTTCATATACGCAAGTGGTCGTGCACAAGAGGCCCTCTTGGGTATCTCTTGGGCCCCCTTGGGGCCCTCGTGGGGCTCGCTGGGGGCCGTCTTGAGGCCCTCTAGGGGCCCTCTTGGAGCATTGCCCGGGCCCTCCAGGGCCTTCCAGTGCGATCCGGAGGGCTTCAAGCGGGCTCAAGACGGTTCCAAGAGAGCTTCAAAGTTTGTCAATATATTTGAAATTTTGAGGCCCTCCTGAGGCTCTCTTGGAGTCCTCTTGAGGCCCTCCGAGATTGCATTGGAAGGCCTGGAGGGCCCCCATGAGGGCCCCCGACCAGGAAACCTCCGGGGGGGGGGGTCGTCACGGTAGCCTCCGTTTTGGGCGCCCCCTCGCCGCGGAAGCCTCCGGTTTAGGTTGCGCCCGGGGCCCCCCCGAGTTCGTCGCGGAAGCCTCCGGTTTAGGCACAAGTCGGGAAACAAGACAGACGGGCGGGGGTCCCGGGGGGGGTCGTCACGGAAGCCTCCGGTTTGGGGCGCGCCCAAATGATGCCCTACCGCGGCGAGCTCCGGGTCCACACTTTCGAAATTTTCATTCGGGGATCCGCCCCGGGCGAGCCCCAAAAGACAGTCGCGCGGCCCCCGCGAGCCGCGCGAGTGCAGTTTGGGCCTCGCTGGGGGGCGGAGGGCAAGGTTTTGTCGCAGGTGCCGCGGGAGTCCAGTCCGGCTGGTCTTTCCCGATCTTCTCCCCGTTACTCCGCCGCCATCCTCTCCTCCTTCCTTACTCCTTCGTGTCTCTCCCTCCCTCGCCGTCCCCTCGCCACTCTTCCCTTGCTCTTCACTTTGGCCTCTCGCCATCTCCCTCTTTCCATTCTGTCCACTTCTCCGCTGTCCTCACGACATCCCCACCTTCTCTGTCTCTCCTCCTTGCCCTCTTTCCCCCCCCCCGCTTTCCTCGCTTTTCCTCGCCCCCTCCCTCCCTAGTGCCCCTTCCCTCCCATCCCTCCCCCCTCGCATTAGCTCCCCTCGCCCGCATCGCCCTTGCCCTCGTTTCTTCCTCTCCTTCCCTGCCTCCGACATTCCTTCCCTCCCCCGCTCCCCCCGTATCTCTCCTACCTCCTCTGGCTCCTCTCCCGCGCCCCCCTCCCTGTGTGCGTCTTTCGCCCTGTCTCCCTTCCCCCCCTTCTCTCCCCTCCCCCCTCCCCCCTCCCTCCCCCCTCCCTCCCTTAGTTCCCTCGCCTGGCGACGCGCTGCACAATGCACTCCGCCGCGAGGGCGAGCTGGGCCAGGGGTCGAGGAGGAGGGGGGCGGAGGAGGGGGAAGTTGAGAGAGGGTGGGGAGGGGGAGGACGAACGGGGGCGGCAGGGGAGGGAAGGATATATAAAATATGTGGACGGGATATCAGGCGGAAATGGAGGGATGGGGTTAGACGTGTGGTTTGTGCGGCATGTGCTGGCATGTTGCACCCAGGCATACTATTGGTTCCCAGTATTTGCAACTCATTGCCTCAATATGTGCAACGTACTGTGTTGCGTCTGTGGGGATGCGTGGCCAATGCCTTGAAACGTCCGCAGTCTTTCATGGGGCGCGTGAGCCTGGTCGCGCAGCACGTGCGTACTCATGCGCCTGGCTCGGCACCGGAGCCATACTTGCCAACGCAGACATGGGCGCTCTGTGATAGAGCCAAGTGTGGATCCTATGATATGTCTGTTTGTGCACTTTCGAGGCTCCTGATATGTAGCGGGCACGCGTTGTCAAAACCCCTCCACAGGAGGACCGTCTCTTTGGGCCATCATTGGCTCGATTCGCCATCCCTGCAGGCGTATGCGTACGTCAGGGTGTGTGACGTTTCACTTGCTCGTCCATATACAAAAGGCGTGGTGTTCCTTTGTCAAATTCCCGAAGTAGCGAAACGATTTATTTGTAATCCTGGTGTCGTGAGTGTGCCGAACACTTTTGAGAAATCGTTCAATGTTTGCCAGGTGTGTTGTAAGACTGTTCAAACCCTGGCGGTCGTACTTCACCGCGCGCAAAGCATGCGACTGCTTCGTTGGGATATGTTCGTTTTGGGGGTAGCTGCGTTTTTTTCCTAGCCGCCCAGGTTCAGTGCGCGTTTCGGCTCACCGACATCACGTGCGCACCTTGGAGCTCTGATTCGCATTAAGAAAGAGTTGCGCTTCGCAGCGCAGGGCCGAGGCATGATATTTTGAATGATAAACGCCCGTGCCAGCGCAGACGCGTCGCTCTGGCCGGCCACTGTTGGTCACGCCATTCGAAGGCATCGCGTGGATTTCATGCGCCGTTGACGTTCCCCGATGACTGTCCTTGGGCCGTGCTCCTTATCTTGCGTCGTTCTTTCTGCCAGCCCGTCGTCGCGACTGCTGCCCGCGCTGGTGCTTTCGTTTATGTTCGTCCCCGAAGCGCTTGACTGGTGCAGTGGTTTCCAAAACGTCTCGATTTAGTTGTCTCTCCGCATGCCCCTGGGACCGCGACCCGGTCTTGCGAGGGCGACGCTCTCAGGAAGGATCTCATTCGCTCCCTGTGGTTGCGCACTTTCGCCTTCTTTGAACAAAGGGTACGGTTTGGTAGGGGTCGGTATGGCCGCGCCCGAGGATTGCGGTGCAAATTGCGAGGGGTTTGGATTCTGGAGCGCGAACGCAGCGTCATTTACAAAGTGCTGTAGCCCCGCGAGCGCGAACGTCATGTCATTTGTAAGGGGTTGTGGCCTGGGGGGCGCGTGCGCGCTGTGATTTGCATAGGGTCGTGGCCCTGGGAGCGCTCATGCATTCTATGTTGCTGGGGGCTCAGGCCCAGGAGCGCGAACGCGCCGTACGTTACAAACGCTTGTGGCTTCGGGAGCGCGAGCGTGATGTAATTTGCAAGGGGTGCCCGGGTTGTGGGTCAGAGTTCTCAGGTCGGCTCCTCATCGGAGCGCTCTCGGGGGCCTCTTGGGAGCAGTTCGGGGGCCTGTTGGGGGCCACTCGGGGGCCTCTTAGAGGCAGTTTGGATGCCTCTTGGCGGCCCCTTGGGCCCTCTTGGGGGCCTCTTGGGGGCCTTTGGGGGCCTCCTGAGGGCGCCTCGAGGCCGAGGGCTCGAAATGTCCGTTCGGGTTCCCCATTTGGCCGCCCTTTTGTGGCCGTCTTTGGGCCCTCTTGGGCCGTCCTGGGCTCCTCTTGGGCAGTCTTTGGGCCGTCTTGGGGTCCTCTTGGCGGCCTCTGGGGCCGACTTGGGGCGATCTTGGAAGCTTCGTGGGCCGTCGTGGAGCGTCGGGAAGCTGAAAAGACGAGAGCGCCAAAATATGATGAAAACCTACAGATGGGTGTTTCGGAGGCCTCATGGACCGTCTTAGGGCCATCTCGGGCGTCTTGGACCGATCGTTCGGCGACTCGGGGACCTCTTGGGCCGTCTTGGGAGCCTCTTGGGGTTTTCTGGGCTCATCTTGGGGCTCTCTTGGACCCGACGAGAAGACAAGAAGACGTGACAAGCCCTCGGCGAGACGCGCCAAGCCCCAGTAGATTTGACACTTGGGGGTCCGGCCCCCGCAAAGGCTCTTCGGGAGTGAGGATTGAGGCCTAGAGGATGGGGCCCAGGATCTGACACGCCCTGTCCGTGCCCAGCGGCACGGTGGCGCATTTTCTGGAAAGGATTGTCGCCTCGGGAGTGCGAACGTGATGCAATTTGCAAGGGGGTGGCGGCCCTGGAAGCGCGAACGCACTGTGGTTTGTGGGAGGGATTGTGCCCTCGGGAGCGCGAGTGTAATTCACAGTGGGCTCTGGCGTCGGGAGCGCGCACACGCGGTACTCGACAGAGCGTCTCCCAGGGCCCTTGAAAGTTCAGTGGACCTGAGGTTCCGGGGTGTTGCAGTGACGCGATCCTTCCTGGCCTGGGGGGTCGAGCGCCTTTCAGCCTTCATATTTGGCGACGAGGACTTCACAGCAGCAGGACCTGACACTGTCGCACTGGAATTGTTGTAGGACGCAGGAGCCCAATCCTCGCATCCTGGCGGCCCCTAGGGGGACTGGCGAATCTCATTAGATTTGAGCCTCCGCACAACGCGGCGGCAGTGATTTTTTTGTAGTGATGCATCGCTAACTTGCTGGGGCGAGTCGGCCTGTCCGGGCAGGGCTAACTGTGCTGTTCCAGCAGAGCGTTTGTTGATATGTACGGCTGAGTTTGTGCTGGACTTTGGACGCTCGAGTGGATCAGTTTCGGCCGCGTTTGCGTAATTACACAAATCAAATCCATTGGGCTATCCCAGTTGGACCCGACGGGGCCTTCTTCTTTATTCCTTGAAGAGTTTCCCGAATGTCACCTCCGCGCTGGCACGGCCCCGCGCTTTGGAACGGCCGCGCATTTCCCGTCCGCCGAACGCAGTTATCTACCCCGAAAAGTGCTTTATTGCCAGGGAGAGCGACAAGCGAGGAGGATATCGAGGAAAGTGAGGAGGACACGGGCGAGGAGGAGGTGGCGGATGAGGACGGGTGGCCTCTGCCCAGGGTGACGCCAGCGAGCTTTTTCCCTACAGCGTGTGCTCAGGGGGCTGTTTTTTTGTTTTTTTTTCTCGCTGTTGTTGTCGTCGTCATCGCCCGCGACCCGCCCACGACCCACCCGTGACCCACCCCGCGACCCACCCGCGACCCACCCCGCGCCCGCCCCATCATTCTGATCCGCATTTGTGGGATGGTACGTCTACTATTGTCCGTGCCGTCATCGCGTGGCTTGCTCACCGGGCCTCGCCCCGCCCGCCCTCTCGCTGACAGGCAGCAGTGCGAGGATGCGGGCGTGAGGTTCGTGGACGTCTTCCAGCCGGCGCCCGACGCGCCTCTTACAGGGGGCGGTGGCCGAGGAGGAGGAGGAGGGGGAAACCAGCCTCCCGTAGATGTGGGAATTTGTGGCCCTGGTCCCTCGAGGACTCCTCAGGAGTGAGGATTGAGGCTTAGAGGATTGGGCCCAGGACCTGAGGACACGCCCACTCTGTACCCATCAGCACGGTGGCGGATCTTATTGAAAGGATTGTGGCCTCGGGATGTTGTTGGAAAGGACTGTGGTTGGCTGCTTATGTAATGGATTGGTGGCCGGGCGGAGGGAGAACGAGCCTTCCTTTCCTCACCCCGGGTGCCTACATTGCGGCGCCGTCCCGCCGTTCGGTCTTTCCTTCTCTTCCTCTCCGAACTCTTGGCTCCTCTCGGCGGCGCTGCCGGCGGGAGGGGCTCGAGGGCCGCAGCCTCCAGGAGCTCAGAGGCCCGCAACTCGAGGCTCGGAGGAGGAAAGCAGGAAGAGGATGCGGAGGATGCGGAGGAGGAGGAGGAGGAGGAGGAAGACGAAGAGGAGGAGGAGGAGGAGGAGGAGGAGGAGGAGGAGGAGGAGGAGGAGGAGGGGCAGGGGCAGGAGGGTGAGGAGGAGGGAGGACGGGGGAGGGGTGGGGGGAGAGGAGGAAAGAGAAGGGGGAAGAGGAGGAAGGAGGAGGAGGAGGAGGAGGAGGAGGAGGGAGGAGGAGGAGGAGGAGGAGGAGGAGGAGGAGGAGGAGGAGGAGGAGGCGGAGGCGGAGGAGGAGGAGGAGGGGCGCGGTCGAGGACGAAGAGTGCTGGAGCCCGCTGGGGGGCGGAGTTGACACATCATGGGCGAGAGGGGCGCCCCTCGTCGCCACGGACGGACGCGGCTCGAGAGAGTTTGTAAGTTTCGACCCCGGGGGCCGATTTTGAAACGATGTGTTATTACATCCCCCTTGAGCGATTGCTTCTGAGCTTATCCAGCACCCCCAGCCGCCTCCAAAAGGGGTGTGCTTGAGAAGGAGGAGGAGGAGGAGGAGGAGGAGGAGAAGGAGGAGGAGGAGGAGAGCAGAAGGGAGAGAAGGAGTTGGCGGAGCAGGAGGAGGAGGAGGAGCAGGAGGAGGAGGAGGAGGAGGAGGAGGAGGACCCATGTCATCTTTCACGCCACGAAAATTAGCGCTGCGTATGCTCCCTCTAAGTGTTTGGCGTCTGACGGCCTCCTCTGGGCCCTGGGCAGGCAGCAAAGTGGCCCTCCGCAGCCATTGTGGCTCAAGCGGCATTTGTCACGCCGGGCTCCCGGGCTCCCGGAAAGGCGGCATCCCTGTCCGTCATGGCGCAGCTGTGGCCTGGGCCTGGTCACTCGGCGAAGCTGTGGACCTGATGTCCGAGGTCACTAAGCGGGCGGCGGCTCGGGCTGCCCCGGTGCCTGCTTCTCCCGATGCGCTCCCGCTGCCGGTGCTGGGTGGCGCCGCCCGCGACGTGCTCGGCGCTGCCGCTGAGCTCGTCGCCGTACGTGGTCGGCGGGCTGGGAGCAGCTGCGGGCCTCTGGCGCGCGCCCGCCCTCCGACCTCGAGCGGGAGTGCCGTGCCCTCGACGGCGCTTCGGCGTTTATTCGCCATCCAGGCTCGGCGCGCGTGGTGCTGCGTCGCCTCAAGGCCCGGCTGGAAAACGCGGAGGCCACCCCGAGCGAGAAGCGCGCCTGCGGCACCAGCGGCTCGTTCGATGCGGTGGACGGCATCGACGGCAAGGCGGAGGTCTACACGGTGGGCTCTGACTGCTCCTCCGAGGCCGCTGCCCCCTGGGAGTCGGAGATGGTGACCTTCGACGTCGTCACCCTCGACGAACTGGAGATCGGACTCGTCGAACTCGCGGGCGTGGAGATGCCCGTTTTTCGTCTTTCGCGCTGGTCACGCGGACACCAGCGTGGAGAAAGACAGCCACGATGAGAAGATCGTCGACGCCGCTGGCATGGAAGTGGCCGTTCTTCCTGGCCTCCGCTCGCGTTCACGTTGCAGGCGGTGCCGGTGTTCTTCCTGGCCCTGGTCACGCGGCCAACGGCTCTATGGACATCAGCCTTAACAAGCACTTTATCGGCTCGGGCGCGGAGGACGCCGAGCTGGGCTTGAACGTGGATATCGCCGCCGGCGCGGGTTATTCTGCTGGCGACCCTCATGATGAGGTAGAGCAGAAGAAGTTGGAGCCTGGTGTCGAATGCCTGCCTGCTGGCGGCGGACTTCTGCATGATGGTCGTTTGCTACGTGCTGGTTGCGACGGTTCGGAGGCTGAGGCGCCGCCTGCCCCCTTTCGTTTCCTCCCTGATCGCCGCCGCCCTCCCTGCTTGGAAAGCGTTGGTGGCTCGCACTTCGGTGCGCGCACAAGGCAGCGCGAATGGCATGTGGCACAGTGTCTTACATTAGTTGTCCAGCCTGCGTCTAAAGATTGCCCAGCGATGACGCTCATATTGCGTTCGCGGATGGTATTTTAACGATCGTGGCCTGCGTGGTTTCGGTCCTTGTTGTTCGGTCGTGTCCCTCGGTCGGCTGCGTCTGGGCCCCAGGTTCCCCGCCCCTCGCCCCCTTTCGGCCCCCTTCGGGCCCCCAGTCGCGCGTCGGCCACGCGCGGGAGTGATTGTTCTGACGATAACCCGAGGATGCATCCAACAACTGAAAATCCAAAGGATACATCAAAAGCAAAGTGGCCCTGGATGACACATTCAATGACGGCTGCGGGGAAGGGGTCGAGATTTGCGCGAGTCGGCAGCGCGAACGGGGTTTGGATCGAAGGGGGGCTAGGGCGGCCTAGGGGCTTCTTGTTGCGCGAGGAGAAGCATGCACATGCGCCGATCCTGGACAGATCCATCCTGGCCCCAGTGTCGGCGCGCACACGCCCACTGGCCAAACCAGGAGGCCGCGCGCGCCGATCCTGAGTTGAGGGCGGGCCTGGCCAGGGTCTGCGCGCGCCGTGTTCTTTCTTTTGACCGCGGGTAGGATCGGATGCCTTGGGGATAGGGGGATCGGCCCTTGAAGAACCGCGCATGGCTTGCCAGACGACCGGCGAGCACTCGAGCAGCCAGTGCTAACTAACGCCCCCCTCGCCGCTTCTTCCACTTTGCGCCGCTGTAGATTCATGTTGCACGCTGCTTTTGCGCATCAGCGGGATACGCGGGTCCCGCGCGCGCGCTCCGCACAGCCCCCCCCCTCGGCATGCTAGCTTTCTACACGCACATCATACCATTACGCATTCCATTCAACGGATTTTACGTAAGCCGCGGCGATGGGGAAGCCGCCCACCCCGAAGCTGGACCTGGGACCACTATTGCATAATGTTCAAGTACAACATGCACAAGAATTATAGGCTCAAGATCAAGAGCAATAACATCATATCCACTTGTCAGTTAAGAAGCACATCCTCGATTTTGATTTAACTGTACGTATTGCCCGAACCCTCCACTATCGCGCAGGCGCGGTGACGTAGGTTGTGACCGAAGCCTGTCATACTGTTCCCAAGTACCAAGACATTCTCGCGTCGTGCAAAGCAACGACGGAACGCCTTGATCCTTTTTGTTATGCCTCCGGGGGCTCCCGTTTTACCCAGGGTTGCCAGAAAGCGTGTTGCCAAGCGTGGGCCCCTAAATTGTGGCATCTCGCAATATGTGCGGCGCAGTCAATATGATGCAATTTAGGTGGTGCAATCCATGTGGTGCAATCTACGCGGCGCAAAGCAGTGCAACGCAGCGCAAAGCAACGCAATGCAAAGCAGTGCGCAGCAAACCGTTGCAACGCAATGCGACGCAATGCGAATGCAACGCCGTGCGACTGCAATGCGCTTGCCATGCGATTGCAGTGCAAGACAATGCAAACCAACGCAATGCAATGCAAAGCGCTGCATCGCAATCCAAAGACATGCAAAACAACGCGACGTGACGCAAAGCAGCGCACTGCAAAACAACGCCAGGCAACGCAACACAACGCAAATCAACGCGGCGCAAATGGCTGCGACGGGCGGCGGCCACGGGCGGCCCGTAGCTGGCCGGACGGGCGCCGGGGCTCAGTAAGTGTCGGCGACGGGCGGCGAGGGATTGGCACCGGGTTCAAAGAAGACAAGGAAAAAACCCTGGGTGCAAGCAGTGCCCAGGAAAGTTTGGGATGCAACGCCATTTCCAGGAACGGGTAGGGAGTTTCGGGGAACGCGTACGGAAGCAATCAAGACTTCGCATGTAATGATAAGGTAAAATTGTCTCGGAAGTTTGTTGGCATGGTGCCATTTGTCCACATTGCACGTGCTGCATGGTGTAAACCTTGCGCGGGCCACTTGCTTGGCACTTGAGAGTATACACGTGGAAAGATCGCAATGCGAACGTTCTAAATGACCATGCGTTACCTCTTTCGAACAAGAAAAATGGCATAAACAAGCGTTGTCGGAACACCGCGCTGATTTCTGGGGTCGCTGCCAGGCCCCCACTGGCTGCGCCCCCAGCGCCGCCCCTGGCGCGTTCCGCGCGCCAGGAGGGGGGGGGGGGGGCCAACGCCGATCCAAGAAATCGGCGCTGAGCTCAGAAAGTGTCTGTTTATGCAATGTTAGCTTGCTTCACGGTTGGGCCGAGGTATAAGATCGAGGTCGTCAGGGAGGGTACCCTCATGTTTTATGTGTTTGTTGAATGTTGTTTCGTGCGTGCTGGGGAGAGGGCGCCATCGAGTGTGTTTGGGTTTGGCTGGCAGAGGGTCTCATGTTCTCGACGGATGTTATCATGTCCTGCGCCCCCCCTCGAGATTAAACGCAAGTTTATGATGTTGATCGACGCGCAAAACGCGGCCCAGGGGGTCAGATTTGTGCGCTTGCAGTCGCCAGTTTCGGCGGGAACGTTGAAAATTTTTGGTCCTCTGGGCGCCGCCACGTCGCGACAAAGATTCGCGCTTGACTTCGAGGAGGCATGTAGGTTTGGCCGCACTGCTACTGTCCTCCCCGCATGTTCCCACTCCGCCAATCCTACTCGACGGCGGAGGGGAACAGCATCGCTGTTCAACGGGCGTGTTGAAGTCAACGGATCGAGGACCCCCTTTTGGGGGAAATGTAGATTTGCGTACGCCGTAGGTATCCTCTCGGTCAAGACTGTCCGCTTCCCACCATGCCGCCCACAGCAGCCACCCCGATGCAGCCGCGCGAGAGGTGCTCCTCGCCTTCGAGGTCTACCTGAAGTACCCCGCGATCGGTGTCCCTGGCGGCTTTTCCGACACCAAGGCCTGTGCGCTCTTACCCGAAACGGGCAGATTGCGTGGCAATGGGGGTCACCACTGCCCTGAGGTCCTGTCGTCTCACTTGTTACGAGCCGGGCGTCTTCGCCAGGTGTTGGACCTCGGCACCCTCACAGATCAGTCCGGCTCGAAGTATGCGCAGAACGGTGGGGTTTGGGTCCAGCGCCCCCGCCGTGATTTTCATGACGTGGCAGCCTTTTCGCTACGTCCGATCTCGGGGCGGGGGGAGCACTAGTTCCGTCGGGAAATCGAGATGCCAGGATCGAGGCTCGAGGAGGTTTTTTGGCCGCTCGGGGTCGTTTTGGAAGGCTCTGGAGGCCCACGTCCTTGAGAAAAATTAGTTTCCTTGAGAAAGCGGCGACTCCCCCCCAAGTGGTGATCCCCCTTGGCAACTCGGTGTTCCAGCCGCAGGGTTTTCCGGAAGGCGGAGGAGAAGAGGGGCGCTGGTCGGGAGCGCCGACGAGGGGGGGACGAGTTTCAGGTTCGAGGCTCGAGGTCTTCGGGCGGTTTCGTATGTTCTCGGCGGTTCGGGCCATAGGTTCTGGGTTTCTGACGTTTCATAGTTTTTCAGGTTTTCCCACTTTCGCAGGCCTAGAGGTTGACACCAACACCAATTTCGGCGGTGTGCCTCCACCGAGGGAAGAAGATCCCGATCTCGGTGATGGTTGTGATATTCTGGCTTCCAGGGTGGCCGAAGTATTACCACCAACACCGAAATCTAGGATCATCTTCCCCACGTGGAGGCAACCCCCTGTGCTGGTATTGGTGCCTATTTCTGGGCCTCGTACACTTGTGGGTGCTCTTCAGCAGCTCCGTTTCGCCGAGAGGCGTCCAGGGAGGCCCAGATCATTGCGAGCGACCGCCGAAGAGAGGAGTCATGAACGAAAGCCAGACAACGAGGATCACTAGGGGAGGGATGCCCTGCACCTCCAAGGCACGTGTGGTTTCGTCGTCGGGGGCCTCATCCTATGGCCCTTCTCAGGGAGACGACGGGGCGATGCAGAGCAGTGCCCTGGCACTGAACTGAACATGTTCAAGCAGCTTCAGAGCAGTGCCCTGGCACTGTTTTGAACGTTGTCACAGGGGAGTTTCGCATGCGACATCGGATGATGGTGCTGATGATGATGATGATGATGATGATGATGATGATGATGATGATGATGATGATGCTGATGCTGATGCTGATGCTGATGCTGATACTAATAATGACCGATAAGTCTCAAGATGATGATGGTGATGAGGATAATGATGATGAGAATGGTGATGTTGAAGATGATTCTTTTTCCACCTTGCACTTATAATGGTCACCGTCCTGCCACTTGTCCGCAACTGCGGCCATAGTGCACCATGCTGACCGCCCACAGGAGCCCGCTCCTTGCGTGGAGCCCCGCTCGATCTCGTAATTAGCCCGCCCACGCGCGAGAACGCTCAGTCCACGCGTGTGCAACGAGCCGCAACCGCGGCGCGATCAGAGTGCCAGGTTCACTGGGACCAGCCCTGCCATCCCGTCGAGGGCCAGTCCCACTGGGACTAGTCCTGCCATCCCGTCGCGGGACCGTGCGCCTCCCGTACGCCGCCGCCGCTGTCGCCGCAGGACCGAGCCGCCACTGCGGCATGAGAAGTGGTCGCATCGTCGCCGTTGGCAGCCTGCAGCGGCCGCGGGTTCCAAGTTCGCTCAGCTCCAGCGCCGTTCCGCGCAACCGCGGTTCCCATCTGGGTATGGGCGCCCTTCCCCACAATTGCGGCGGCCGTGTTGCCGCCCTTCTTGCCGCCCTTCTCGCCGCCCTTCTGCGGCCGACCACGCAGCACTGACGGCCGACCACGCGACCACAAACACCGACCACCAACAACCAAGCACTACAACACCGACTACCGGCGCCTTGCGCCAACACCAACACCAAACTCTGCACAGACGACCAACACAAACTCTACCCAGCGACGTGGCACCAGCGCACCACGACATCGACTACAAGGATTCCTCCCCACCTCCCCTCCCCTGCGTTTCACATAACTTGTTACAAGTCTCGCATGCACGCCTCACCATACACAACAACTATTTCAGAGGCCACGGCCTCATTCACCTGGTCTCCAGTAGGCCCGGACTGCTGTCCGCATTGGTGGTCGTTCGTTCGTTCTTGCCGCCCTTCTTGCCGCCCTTCTGCGCCTGCTTCTCCAACCCTTCTGCGAGTTTTTCAGCTGACCTCCGGCTCGTGTTGCGCGAGTTACATTCAAACATGTGTATCTATACACATGTATGTATATATGTATGCATCTGTCGTTACATCACTATACATATACATATACCTATACATGTACATATATATATGTGTATATATATATATATATATATATATATCGATCTATACATATACATATACTTATACATATACATACTTATGATTATATCACATTGTATTTTAAGACAGGTTCCGTCACCGCCGTCGCCGCTGTCATTGTCGACGTCGCAGCCGCCCTCGTCGCCGTCGTCGTCGCCGTCGTCGTCGTTGGCGCCGCCGTCGCCGTCGTCGTCGTCGTTGTTGCGTTGTCGCCGTCGTCGTCGTTGCCGAGACGGGGGAAGGGAGGAAAGAGGGGGGGCGCAGATCAGCAGGTAAGAACGAGGCAGGAGAGGGCACAGGATGGGGAGGATGAGGACGAGGAGGGATTTCCAGATGTAGGGGCACGCCGAAGGCGATCCTGCTGTTGCCCTGCCCCCTTCTGGCCAGAATTCCGCATCGTTCAAAGCAGTGCCCGGGGACTGCTTTGAACGATGCGCGTTGTTCAAAGCAGCGCCCCGGCATTGTGTGCGACGAACCCCTTTTGTAAAGGCCATAGGATTATTGGCGATGCATCGCCGTTTCCAAGTCCATGTCTCCCCTCCGAGCCAGTCCCACCCTATCGTTTCCCCATGAGCCAGTGGCTGGAGGACGGGAGAGCGGGGCAGCTTCTCTGTCTGCCGCCAGCCCCTCCCAACAACAATGAAAAACGCCATAGCTATGCTGGGCTGCCTGGGTACTGCCTCGAAGCACTATCGAACCCGCGAGGACGGCTGGAGATCGTGCCGCTAGCGTTTGCATTTCTGTTCATAGGCAACGAACAACTTAGCATATGTTCCGTCACGAAAGTGTTAGCCTCATGTTGTGCTTGCCAGTTGGAAGACAACGTGCGAGCCCGCAGAACGGGAGTCACGGTGAGCAGCCCAGAGGGCTCATTCTCTCAGTGGCTTCCGCAGGGACCGTGTCGCCGGAGTGCGTCCTGCTGGGTGGCTGCGCCGCCCCTGTGGTGACACCACCGAGCCCGCGCAGCCACGCGACCACCGACGCCGAACCGCCCGCACAGGGCGGGAGGGCGAGGAAGCAGGCCCACGAAGAGGATCGCGGGCGCACACGGCGCTGCAACCAGGGGGCGCCACGCCGAGCGCCCCGCCTCCTGCTGCCAGGCAGGAGGGCGCCCGCCGGCGGCCCCCCGCCGCCAGGGCAGGGAGCGTCCGCCGCCGGCCAGGGCAGCCGAGGCCAGACGGACCAGAGAGACCAGCCAGACACGACGCTCCCGTGGCCACGCGGGGCCGTCCTGTGGTCGCGTTGGGGAGTCGTGGAACCTCCTAGGCGCACACTCCTCCTCCCCCTCCTTCTCCCCCTCCTCCCTCCTCCACCTCCTCCTCCTCCTCCTCCTCCGCCTCCTCCTCCTCCTCCTCCTCCCCCTCCTCCTCCTCCTCCTCCTCCTCCTCCTCCTCCTCCCCCTCCTCCTCCTCCTCCTCCTCCCCTCCTCCTCCTCTCCCCTCCTCCTCCTCCCACTCCCCCTCCCCTCCTGCTCCTCCTCCTCCTCCCCCTCCTCCTCCTCCTGTTCCTCTCCTCCTGCTCCTCCTCCCGCCTTTCCCTCCTCCTCCTCCTCCTTCTCCTGCTCCTTTTCCTCCTTCTCCTCCCATTGGAGACGTGTGTGGCCATAACGAGCCCCCTTTGGGGGGCAGTCGGGCTCGTCTTGCGCCGTCCTGGGGCCATCCTGAGTCAGAGGGGGCCTCCAAAGAGTTGTGGAGAGCTGCTGGGCGCCGCCGAGACTCGAATTCATACAAATCAAGGGGGACAAGGGCCAGGGTCCCCGGGCCAGAGCCTGGACCATGGTCCAGCCTCCTTGACCCCCGAGAGCGCCAACGGAGCTTCAGGAGTATTCGGGCAGCTGGAGAGCCCCCGAAAGTTTCGGAGGTTGATAGACCTCCTACCCTGACACGTCGCGTCGATTAGCGAATTGGCCGTTTTCGGTTCGCGAGAGGGTGTCGCGGCCGTCATTTTGTCCGTCGGTTTCGGTCCTAGGCCGTTTTCATTAAAGGGTGGCTTACCAAAGGGAGGTTTGTACATCGACGAAAGCTCGAAAACCGCCGCGCATTGATCGGACAGGGCCACCGAGACGCCCCAGATGCTTCTTCAGTCCGAGAAGTCCTTAGGGGACACAATAAAGGCAAACCCGATTGATTGTGGAACGATTATTGTTTGAGTTGGCATTCTCGTTCTCGGTCGTCACAATGCCCCAGACGGCCCAGGAGGCCGCCAGTGCAACACAAAAAGCAATCAAGAATCACTTTCTGGCGGCGGAAGTTGATCGCTCCCGCACAGGTACAGGGTCTCACGATGTACATTCCAGGGGAAGGGGGTGTGGGGGGCTTGTCTGTGAGGCTCTTGCCAGGACGCCGCGCACAGTTTGCAAAGGTTCACAGCCTCGGGGGTGCGACTCCGGGATGATTTGCACGAATCGTGGCCTCGGGAGCGCGAACATGGCGCAATGCACAAGGGATCGTGTCATCGGGGGCGCGAATTTAGAGTGATTCGTCGCGTTTCGCGTATCCCAACCAGCCTTCGTTTTCCGCTTGTTTTCGTTCCCCCCTCGTGCCGCGGAATTTAGGCCGTTGCTTGTTAGCCGCGTTTCTTAACGGCGCCCAGCATTCCGGCGCGCTTGCGAACAAAACAGTATCCCCACCAGCCCATTCGGAAATTTTGCCCATGGGAGTTGACGGGAAAAGGGACGACGAGACACATGTAGTGAAACAAAACGGGCAACCAGTGTGAACAGAGAGATCTCCCAGAGGGCTTTGTCGGGCCATCCCTGGGGCCCGAGTGGAGGCGAGGGAAGGAGGGGTAGGAGGAGGAGGAGGAGGAGAAGGAGGAGGAGGAGGACGACGACGACCACGACGACGACGACGAGGAAGAGGAGGAAAAAGGAAAAGGATAAGGAAGACGTTGAGAACAAGGACGAGGACGAGATCGAGGACAGAGCCGTCAAATCGCCTCTTGGAGCCCTCTTGGGACTGTGTTGGGGATCTTTGGGGCCCTGGCTGGCCTCTTGGGGCCATCTTGGAGGCTACCGATCTAAAGGGAAGTCCTCGATTTCTGCCCTCCTCCCTCGGGCCATCAAAATCACCTCTCGGAGCCCTCTTGGGGCGCTCTTGGGCCGCTCCTGGGCTCAGGGCCGTCTGGGGGGCTTCTTGGGCCCATCTTGGGCCCATCTTGGGCCTCTCGTGGCCCATCTTGGGGCCATCTTGAGGCCCTCACAAGCGAATAGGACGCGAAACTGCGAAAAGGCAAAAAACAGTGTTTTTCTTTCGGCGCTTGAAGGGTTCGGCCTCTTGGAGGGTCCTAAGGGGGCTCCGAGAGCACTTGGAAACTTCTTGTGGCCCTCGGTGGGCCTCTTGGAGGTATGTCGAAAGCTATCGTGAACCATCGTCGGCTACCTTGTGCCGCCCTGGAGGCCATCTTGGAGGATCGTGGGCTTTGTTGGAGCCACATTGGGCCAATTGGGGCCCCCCTGACCGATCGCGGCCCGTCCCAAAAAAAACCCTCAGGGAGGGGTCGAGTAAACCTCCCGGACAGGAAGAGGCTTCTGGGAGACGGCAGATCCATTCAGGTCCCCTAGGCCTTGACGACTTTTGGGCAAATCGACTTGTGGAGATCAAGCTGGGCAAATGGAGGTAAATGCAGACAATTTAGAATCCAGGTAAATCTGGGCCATTCCAGGTGATCGCAGGTGCATCCAGGGATCCCCAAGGAAATGTTGGAGCAAATTGTGGCCGCGCCAGCGCGAGTCGAGGGACGGCAGAAGTCGTGAGGCCCCTTAACGAAGAGAAAGAGCTCGTCAGACTACCTCGCAGCCCAAAGGGCCGGCGGGCTGTGCGAGAGCTCGTCGCCTCGGGGGCGCGAATCTGGCGGAATCCACAATAAAAAAGATCATGATCTCGGGGGCGCGAATCTGGTTTCATTTGTGAGGGATCGTCGCCTCGGGGACGCGAATTTGGTCCCCAAGTCAAGAGCTCCCAGCTGGGAGCCGCCATGCGGGTGCAAAGGACTCGCCGGCGTTCACCCCGTGACAGGTGAGCCGCTCTAGTGTGTTCGGTTGCACTGCGCTTTGAGCGTGTCCTCACATTGTTGAGAAGCTCTGTCCTCGTCGATTGTGACAGGGCTCTGGGGCGCCGCCGGGCCCTGCCGGCAGCGTCCCCCAACGTGGCACCATCAAGCTTCGACTTTGTGCCACGGTTGTGCCTTTCTTGGAGTCTTCGTGGGTGGCCTCCTGTACGCAGGGTCGCCACGACGTGGCTGCCCGTCGCAGGCAGTCTGGACTGACCAGGGCTGACCCATCGAGTTTGCTTGGCGCCGCCCCGTCCCAGCCTTCGGGTGCTCCCGTCGGGGTGCAACTGCCCGTTGCCTCGTGGGTGCTGCCCTGAGGTCCTCACCTGGGCCCCTGCAGCCTCGGGAGCGCCCAGGGGCCGTTTTGGCCGCAGTGCAGCTGCTTCGACTCCCGCGGGGGTCCTCCTCCCGTCCGTCCTCCCTCCTCTGCGCCGCTCGCGACCTGGCAGGCCCCCTCCAAGTGGAAGAAGGTGGCGGTGGAGCGCGCGGCGTGACGGAGGGGGGGCTTTCGGCGCCGAGGACTGCGAGGAGTGAGGTCCGAAGGAAGAGGTCCCTCGCCCATCCTACAGGAGAAGCGGGGGAGATAATGTGCCGCTGCTTCCGTCGTGGTTGGACTCCTCAGGACGCCCTGGTAGACAAGCCTTGTCGTGCGGAAGGCTGACCGATTGCATTTCTGCGTTCAAGCCCGAAGCGATCGCGGTAGAGGATCTGGCGAGGTGGGTGCAGTCAGGGATTTGGTTTGGGCGGCCGGCCAGAACGAAACAGGCTCAGCACCAGTTTCTGCACCTGGAATTTCTTCGTGGCCCAGGACCACCAGACCATCAAGCATAATGCAACCCCTGATCCTACTGACGCAATGAACTAATCCCTGGGCGCGCCGCCTACAGCGAAACCGATGGTAAGGATGGGCCACCTTCCCGAGGGTACCCTTACATCCTTGCCTCTTCGGTCCATCCGTACGCGCTTTCGCTGGCCGCGGCACCCCGCTCGAAGAGCGGCAGCATGGCCCTCCGAGGGCCTTGCATCTTGACCGTGCATCCTCACTTCACCAGCCTGGAACATGTCCTTATCCCTATGATTGGCATCGCCTCATCTCGATGCCGATCTTAGGGATTCCCTCCGTTTCTGAGGGCGCATCCCTAAGATTGTCGTCGATTTTTGGCTCGTTAATCTTCGGGATAGGGATACGTTCGAGGCTGGTTATCACTATTGCTTTTGACCCCATCAGCTCAGGCCCTCGCCTCCTCTCGCCTCCCGCCGCCCAGCTGGCCAACCCGTGGCGCCGCGCCGGGGGCCGCCTCTCCCGCCCGCGGCCCGAGGCGGCCCGGCGGCCGCCGCGGCGCGCGGCGCACGGTGCGGCCGCGGCCCGTCGTGTTTCAAAAGGCGCCCGCCAGCCTCGAAGGATTCGGCAGAGAGTCGAAGGTTTCTGGACGTTCGAGCGTGTGTCTGTCGAAGACGGCTGCGGTAGGTGATCGTCGTGTCGACCAGGAGCGACCCCGCTGCCGGCGTTCGACGTTGAACGCCGCCGGCGACCCCCCAGAATCGGTCGATGTTGAGCGATCTTCGCGGTGATAGAAACCAGCGCCGAAGCCGGCCTGGCACGAAGCTGCTGTTCGGGTAATCACCGCCGCCCCTATGACATATGTTTTGGTGCGTGGTTGGTTTACGGACTTTATCTCGATGTTTAGCGCAGCTGCAGAGTTTTTAGCCACATCTATCGATCCAGAAGTATCGGAAGCATTCGTCTACAGTATCGAGAGGCTTCAGATCGGCTTCATACTCGAGCCATTACCGAATCACTCTTCGCACTCTGTAACAGATTCCTGCCGTTTTGGGAAGCATCTTTGTGGCCTAACGTTGCGTCAAGAGGTCGGCCAGGCTATCGGACTATGTGTTTCCCCAGCCGTTGAGGAAGCCCTTCGGGGAACACGTGGGTGAGAAAGAGGAACAGGAGGAAAGAGAGAGGAAAGAGGATTAGGAGGCGGAGGAGGAGGCCTCTTGGGAGCCTCTTGAGGCAATCTTGGGGCCGCCTGGGAAGCTCCCGTCTTGGTGAGCACTTTGGCCCTCTTGAGGGCCTTTGGGGCATTACTTGGGGCCTCTTTGGCCGTCTTGGGGCGTTCCTGGCTTGCCTGCCGCCGTTGAAAGCCGTCTTGAGGGCGTCTCTGAACGGACTCAGCGCCCTTTTGGGGCACTTCAGCGCGTCTGGCAGGCCATCTTGGGCGTCCTGGAGGCCTGTCGGGCAGTCTTTGGCCCTCTTGGGGTCTTCTTGTGGGCCTCTTGGGCCGTCATGGGGCCGTCTTGGATGCATCCTGGGTGACCGTGGGGCGATCGTTGGGGCCTCTTGGGCTGTCGCAAGGTCGAAAAGCGAATCTCCAAATCTGTCAAAAACCAAAAGACAAGGAAGGATGTTGGCCTCTTCGGGCCTTCCTGGAGGACCTCCCAGAGGCCTCTTGAGCCGTCTAGGAGGCCATCGTGGAGGCCATCTTAGCCGTCTTGGAGGCCATCTTGGAGCCATCTTGGAGGCCCACGAATTTTCGGCGGCTTTCTGCGGCTTCCCGGGTGGCTGACGGGTTGGGCCGAGACCCCATTGGGAACCTTCAGAAGAACCCAATTCCCTAGAAGTCTGGCACGCCGTGCACCCCGATGGCAGGATCACTGGGGGGAGGTGGATCTTCCCCCAGTCGTCCACGCACATCTTCGTGCCATGATTTGCGAACCATCTTCTTGGATGCCCCCCGATCTTTTTGGAGGCCTTCACTGGGGGTGCTCGGGGGTTTTCGTAGATGAATTTCGGAGGTTTACGCACGGTGTTCGGAAAGTTCCCGAAGGATTTCAGAAGATTTCGGGACTTGGGATGGTTCTCACCAACTGCGCGCGGGCAGTTATCCATGACCACCGCTTGGGGGATCGAGCTTCGGGGACGTCGCCTGGCTGCGGATGTGTCCATATGCGGGCCAGTGGGTGTGCATGGGTGCACACATATATCACTGTGTATATATATATATATATAAGTAATTAACTAAGTAAATACATACATAAGTATATACCGCCCCCCCCGGCCCCGAGTCCCACACCTCCCCGTGACATCTCGGGGACGCTCCCGGTACCGCTCCCCCGGCCTTTCCGAGGAGCCTCCACAGCGCCCCAGGAGGGCCCAAGACCCCTCCCAGGAGCCCCCAGAACGCGAAAGGATGGTCCAAGACAGCCCAAGTCAGCCTTCGACGGCTCTCGAAGCTCTCAGATGGCCTCCAAGAGACCCCAAGAGAGGTCCGAGAGGCGTCCCGGGACGGCCCGAAGATGCCAGAATCGTAGATGTTCATTTTTTAAAATGTTTTTGGCATCTCGCGTTTTCGAGCTTCCTATGGTCCAAGAGCGCCGAAGAGACTCCCAAGACCGCCCCAAGACCACCCAAGAGACCCTCAGGACGGCCCCCAGGGGGTCCGGAAGATCCCACACCCCTGAGGGGCCCGGCTACCCGCGAGGCACAAACAAAAACACAGCGCCGAACAGCGCGGAGGAACTGGAAACACATGGAAATCCCACAGACCCTTGCACAACATACCGCAATTCAGACCCCCCTCACCTCCCAAAAAAGAACCCAGGAAGCCTTTGAGGGCCCCAAATCGGTGAATACCTAAAGGAAATCAATAATTTCTGCGTTCCCGCACTTCTGCTTCTATACGATTCCGAGGCGTGCGCAGGGCCTCCAAGGGAGTCCCTGGACGCAAGAAGCGACCAACATGAGATTACATGAGTTAGCCTATCAAGGCTAGCTGGAACTTGATCGCGCGCGAAGCTCGCGTGATGGTTCTAGTATTTGTATATACACATGAAAGTGCATATCTACATGTATACATGTATCCATACATATGTACACACGTGCACATAAACACACATACAAATATATCCCATGCCCACATCCACCGCCCGCCGAGTTCCCCGAAGATCGATGCCCAATGCGGTGGTTAGGGGTCAATCCTCGCCTCGCAGAGGATGGGCCGTCAGGACAGCAGCGGCCATCGTTGCCAGTTTTCGTAGGATTTCGGGACCTCGGGTTTTTTCTTCAGCTACGCCTCGACACGGGCGTTTCGGGGATATCAGAATCAGAATTGTCTCGAACGGCCACTTGAGGCCCGAGTGATCGCCCGAAAAACATCGGAGGATTGCCGGTCGGGACAGCGGCGACATTCCCTGGCGGTTTCTGGCGGATTGGGTAGGATTCGGGGGCCCGAAATGGTTCCCATGGGCTGCTCCTCGTTGGGGACATTTTTTCCGACGTTCTCGAGTGTGTTGCGAAGCTCTGAGGGGGCTGATGGGACCTTATCCTTTCTCAGGGGGGGGGGGCGGGAGGCAGATGCGAACGAGGAGGAGGAGGAGGAGGAGGAGGAGGAGGAGGAGGAGGAGGAGGAGGAGGAGGGGGGGAGGAGGACGAGGGGGGAGCACGGGAGGGAGCGGTAAGGATTGGGAATGGGGGCAGCGTGACAAGGGCTATGTAGTAGGGCTCGAGCTCAACGGTGTTTTGGCAATTTCGTGGACCGTTTTCGTTCTGACTTCGTTGTGCAACAAATGTGGAACGAAGACAGAACTAGGGATCACGAAAACAAAACGAAAACGGAAAACACTGTTTAACTCGAGCCCTGCTGTGTAGCCATGGACTCTAAGGGACTCCGCTGCACCGGACCATTCGATGGGCCCCTCGTGCGCAGGGAGAGGCGCTCGGGCGCCACCGTGCCCAAGCCCCGTGGCCGATGAGAGCGCTCGGCCTGCGCTCGGGGCCGCCAGAAATTTCGACGAGAGCGGCGAGGATGCGGGCAATACTTCTGTCCATGTCCACTGCGATATGGAGTTTCGGGTTCCCTTCCCCAGAAACCAGAGGCGCGCTGGATATGGATAAATTTGCCCCCTAGAGGCGCGGACAGCGACGACGACAGCGGATGGCTCACTCGCCCTTTCGTCGCTCTGTCGGCGACGATGCCTCGTGGGGCAGCACCGGCGAGGCACGAGTCGTGCGAAGTCACGAGGCGAGTTGACGCGCGACCACCGAGCGCACCCCGCGGCAGGCACGCGGGGAGGGGACGGTTGAAGCCACCGCCCCCGTCCGAGCAACGTCCGCTCAGCATCTGTCCCTGGACCCCCTCACCCGTTGTGCGAGGCGCGTCCAGCTCTCAGGGGCAACGGCAGCGGGGGTACGGTGAAGGCCCATGCCAGGAAACACCCCGCTTGCCTCCAGGGTGGGTTTCTTGGGTTTCGATGGTTTCGCCGTGGCAAGCGTGACGTTCCCACACCAGGAATCGATGGACGTCCTGGGGTCTCAGGGTTGGGTTTCCTGTGGAAGGTTTCCTGTGGTCGGGCCCCTGCTGTTTGCATAGGCTCAGGGGGTGGCACATCGATCCCCAGTCGCCCACTCATCGCCGACAGGGGCCTGGCCAGCACAGCCCGCCAAGGACCTTGCGGGCTCGCTATTGGGGACCCATCGCCGATCTATTAGCCGCGCATCGCCGCTTCCAGGTCGACGCTTCTCCCCCTGAGCCGGCCCCCTCCCTGAAATGGAGCCGGTCCCCTACCTTCAAAAAGAGAGGACCCCTCTCCCCGTCCTCTCGCAGGGAGGGGGGAGGCGCAGCGCTGCCGGCGGCGACCGAAGTACCCTTCGTCCCCCCTCCGCGTTGTGATTCCCAGCCGGCGGTTCACTCGTTGTGGCTTGTTTGTGGTTCGCGGGATGTCGGGAGACGCGGCTCCGGCGCTCCTGGCCTGCTCTAGCATTTCGTATTCGTTATGTTTGGGTATTGCTGTCCCCAGCGGTTCGTCACATGTTGCCCGAGGCGCGCCCAGCCGTGGCGACGAGGGCCTCCAGAAGCGCAGAATCAACAATTCCGACGCGAACGGACGACGACGACGACCCCCCGACGGCCTCTGAACGTCTCTCAAGGTTTCCAGGGGTGTCCAGGTATCCTCGGACGCTTCTGGAGGCCTCTGCAGAGTCAGAAGGGTACAACGATGTGTTTTTATCAAAAAGACAAGCGCCTCGATCCTCTATCTTCGATCGGGGATTTTCGACATCGGCGACGACGGATAAACCTCGACTGACGACGACGTTATTCTCGGCATCGCCAACGTAGTCGTTGTCATGTGTGGTCGAGCCACATTCATCGTCGTCAGACGTCGTCGTCAGGCGTCTTATTCGTTATCCGTCGTCCTCGACGGCGACGCCAACCACGAAGACGACGACGACGACGACGACGACTACGACGGCGACGGCGACGGCGACGGCGACAGATCAACAACGGCTGAAGACGATGTCTTCGCCGTCGCCGACGTCTGCGTCAGGCGTGGTTGAGTGTTGTTCGTCGCCGGTCGGCGTCGTCAGGCGTCTTCGTCGTCTGTCGTCAGGCGCCAGTCGTTGTCCTGAACGATTGCGACGACGACGATGGCCCAACAATGACTGACGACGACGACGTTGTCCTCGCCGCCGTCGACGTCGTCGTCTGGCGTGGCCGAGTCCGTCGTCGTCGTCGTCGTCGTCGTCGTCGTCGCCTTCTGGCGTCCGTCAGTTTGTCGACGTCGTCGACGTCGACCCTCCCTCTCACCGCGCCGTCCCACGGAGGCCCCGCGGTGCGGCGGCGGGGGGGGCGGCCGGCCCCCCCCTGGGTGTGTGGGAAGCCGGCGGGCGGGCACCCCTCGCCCCCCGCGCGCGTGTGCGCCCCGTTTTCCTCCCCCTCCTCCTCCCCCTCCTCCTCCTCCTCCTCCTCCCCCTCCTCCTCCTCCTCCTCCTCCTCCTCCTCCTCCTCCTCCTCCTCCTCCTCTTCATCGATCTCCTCCTTCTCCTCCTCCTCCTCCTCTTCCTCGTCGTCCTCCTCCTCCTCCTCCTCCTCCTCCCTCGGCGGGTGCTCATGGTGGGGACTATCGGGCGTGCTCGCGCGGCGGGAGAGTCACGGCGGGCAGCTCCTGGCCGCTCCAGAGTGCGGCTCTCCCCAGCGTGCGCGGGAGGAGCACGACGGGAAGGCGTGGGCCGCGCTCGGCCGGGAGCTCCCGAAGGAAGGCGGGGTTCACTTCGCTCGGGAGCTCCCGAACGAAGTAAACCCCACCCTCCCCCTCAGAAATCGTGTGGGGGGGTAGGGTTCGCATGTGGCCCCCTATCGGGAGCGTCAACACAAACGGCCCAGGTTTGACATCGGCCGCGGGGCAAGGGTCGGGACTTCCTAGTACCCTTGGCATCGCTCGGGCGTCTGCCTTTTTGTTCTCGAGGGGGGCCCTCGAGGAGCATGTTGGGTCATCATCTTGCAAACCAATACACGCGCGAAGCCGGAACATGCACGGGGAAGGACAGTCCGAGCGATGGCGAGGGACCGCGCAGTAAGAATATCGAGGCATCGCATTGTTTTTGGGACCTTCCTGGGCCCGCCTGACAGATTTGTTCGACTGTAGTTCGATTCCAGTTCGACTCAAGATCGAGTTCTGTTCGACTCACACCGACGGAAGTTCGACGCAGCATCGACGCATGAGTGGAGGGAGTGGCTCCAGGAAGGTCCCCACTATGAGCACCTGATCCTCCCCTCCTGGCGCCCCCCGCGCGCTGCTCCCGATGGCGATGCCGATGCCGCTGGCTGGCGGCGGGGCCATGCAGGCTTGTGGGGCCCATGCGCCCCTCGGGGCAACGTTTTGGGGGGGGGTTCAGGGGGGGGACGCGTCGAGCTCCAATCGCCCATTCGTCGCCGAGGGGCGCCCGATAGCCCACCCCTTCCAGGAACATGCGGGCTCGCTGCTATCGGAGGCCTATCGCCGATGCATCGCTGAGCTGATCATGTTTATGTCATTGTTCGCTCCCTTCTTTTTGCTGGTGTGGAGACTCAACAGAGGGCACAAATCAAGCATCCGGCCCCCAAATTCACCAATCTTGCACAAGCAAGCATTCGCTCCCCCCACCGACTGGTTGCGTCGGCCCCCTGTGTTGCGCAGGTTGTAGCAAAACCTTCTCGGATGCGTTGGCGTTGGGAAGCTTGGATGAGGGGCCCGGATGGGTTGGACCCATTACTGGAAGCTCTGGACCTAGCTCCAGGATGGCAGAAATAGCGGGAATTAGACGGATAGGCATACGGAGAGTTTGCGCCCCTTGCTTGCCCAGCAGCAGCGGCGGCAGGCGAAGCAAGCCATGCGCGGCAAGTCGGGGATGGAGGTTTGCCGACTCTGTGAGCTCGCCCCTGGGCACGGTCTGGCACCGTGGGCTCGGATGCACCTGCACCAGTTTGCAGGCTGCAGCCCGCGGGTCAGGAAGGCGGCCCGTGAAATTCTGCCCTTGCCTGCGAGGTTGTCCACTTCGCTTGGAGCAGAAAACCGACTTGAGGATGCCTTTCGGGCAGAATATTCATTGTTGACTCCGCCACCTTCCCGGTTTGCCCCGCGGGACGGGGCCTGGAGATGGACAAGATTCGTGGAGTCGTTATGATTGTTGCTGGTTTTGTTTCATAGCAGGTACTGTCGTTCCAAGTTGCTCAAAACGGGGGGATGTTGTTCTCTCGATGACAGATCAAGGCTGCGTCAAGGGAGATGCTACCTTCCACGTAGACTGGCATTCGTGACCCCATCCGCGCCCGCAACTCCGCCAATCCCCCAAAGGCCACACATCTGGGAAGAGTTCCACAGTTCCCGACCATGATGAATGCCAATCCCTATCAGTGCGGTGATAGTAGGACGCATCGGTGAGCGTCACTGGGCGGGGAACAGGGAGCCGATGTTCCTGCTGGCCAGGGGGCCGCCCGAATGAGGTTCACCGGGATGATCTGGCTGGCCACGTCAAGGCAATATCCAATTGAACCACCGCCCAAGTGTGTTGATGGCAGAACGTGAAGCGTTCAATTGCCTCAGCCTTCCTTTCCCCCTCGGCTTCTGGACGGTGGGGCGAGTGCTGGGATGGGAGAAACAAGGACGAGGGCGAGGCGGCCACCCCCAGGACGACTCAGGCCGCGGGATACGCCTTTCGCCCCCGAGGCGAGCGATGAGCATGAGCTCCGCACTTCAATGGCCCTTCAGGGCCACTCGCTGCTGGCGGCCCCCGTCTTCCTTTCCCTGGAGTTCCCACCCTTTTCCACCGAAGAGCGAGCGTTTTTTTGTTGGCACGGCATGGAAGAACACGCTGGGGGGGCGTTCTTGTTTGACAACGCCGTGTGATTGCCCGTCTCGGCCTCGGCGGCGAAGGCCCTCGAAGAATTAGGCTACTCGTGAGCGCCTGGGGCCGAGAGCTTTGGCAGGCGTCGGATCGACGGGCAAAGCGCCTCGGGCCTGCACTCGAGATTTGGCTGGTTCCCGCGGAGCCCGTGGCGCCACCGAGGCTTGGTGCTCCGCCCCTCGTGTTGCAGGTGGCGACCATGGCGGGCCTGCGTGAGGCCCGTGGAGCCACCCGGCCACGTTGGCATCTCCTTCTTGCTGCTCCGTGTGAGTGCCCCTGGTACTCCTGTTGTCAATTAGTAGGCCCGCGCCCCGGACTTACGACTCGCCGCTTGCGCTCTCGCCTGCGGCCGCGACGAAAAAGTGAATGCCCCTGGCGCGCATGGAGTTGAGAGGGAACGAGTGAGGACGGAGAAGAGGAAGAGGAGGAAGGAGCGGGAGAGGAGGGGAGAGGGGAGGACGAGCAGCGCTCCATTCGAAGCGAGCACCCGACACAGCAGGGCTGGGAGCAAGATGGCGACGACGTCCGCGGCAGCGACGACGACTTCGGCGACCTCGCCGACAACCGCGGCGACGGCGACGTCGACGGCGTCGACTGCGGCGCCGACGGGGATGGCAGCGACGGCGGCGACGACAGCGACGACGACGGCGGCGGCGGCGGCGACATTGACTCGCCTCTGGAACCCTCGTCGGGCCAGGGGCTGCAGGCGCCAGAGCGCACGCGGCCAAAAACCCCTCTCGCAGGGCGCTCCGCCCCTGCCGGAGCTGCCGGTGCCCCTGCCGGACTGGCTCACGGGGAACCCGTGCGCCGCGCCGCCCCGCCGCTCACGGCCCGCCCCCGCGCCGCGGCCTGCAGGGGCAGCGCCGGGAGGGGGGGGGATATATCGGATGGAGCGAGGGCGAGGATCTTGGAGCCGCCGAGTGCTGGTGGGGCGCACGAGCGGGTGGCGTTGTGTGTTCCGCCATTCGCAGCTCCAGGGCTTCATCTTCGAGGCAATCGTGAGCGTCGACATGGCACTGCAGCGGAAAGTCCAATGTTTAACGGAATACCTCGTTTCAGAGCGTTCCGAAACGCTCTCAGAGCGTTCCAGAAAGCTGTGAGAAGCCCGCGGCGCCCGATATTTCCTCCAGAGCCGCCGGATCTCAGAGATACTCGATGTATCGTCGCCCGAATTTGTCTTCGTCCTGACTTCGTCTTCGGATAGTTTCAGGGGAACATGGATCAAGGCAGGTAGACTAGCTATGGGTACAGTTTTAGCTCTTCCCAACGAGTTCTGTGATAAATGCACCAAGCGGGCGTTTGGATTTTGTAGATGGGGCGGGCTCGCTGGGAGGATCGGCTCAGCTCGGGGTTCAGTGTTTTCGCGATTCGAGGTTTTGGGGCGTTGTCGCTGGTATTCAGCGGTTTTCCAGCCTCGTGATGCCCTCCAGCAACTGCGCCTCGCCAACAAGAGCGTCCGGGGGTGCCAAAATCGCCCCGAACGGCCGCCGCAGGCCCGAGTTATGCTTCGAAAGCCAGGAAGCGGAAGGTCAAGGCAACGTCAGGGGGGATAGGCTCAGTGGGAATGCGTTGACGCCAAATCGTCCGTTCATCGCCGACGGAGGCCCGATAGCCCACCCCGCCCAGGAGCCTGCGGATTCGGCCTCGGGCGCGTATCGCCGATCTTCTGGCGATGTAGTGACAATTCTTTTCCGATCTTCGTTTCCCTTGGGCACGTCCCCCCGTTCGTTCCCTGTCACAAAGGACGAGGGGCGGGGCCCATGCGTTCGGGCCCTGGACTTTGACCGGCCGAGAGTTGATAGGGCGCACAAGCGGGTGGCGTGATGTGTTCCGCCATTCGCAACTCAAGGGCTTCATCTTCGAGTCAACCGCGAAAGTCGACATGACATTGCCGCGGAAAATCCAACATTTAACGAAATACCTTCGGACGGGGTTGGGGCGAGGATAAATCCGTTCCAGGGCGTTCCAGGCCACTCAGAGCGTTCCAGAACACTCTCAGAAGCCCGCGGCGCCCGATACAGCCTCCAGAGCCACCAGACCTCAGAGATGTTCGATTTATCCTCACTCGAATTTGTCCTCGTCTTGGCTTCGTCTTATACCTCTCGGAGGCGGTGCTGCAAATGAGTTAGACATGTGTGGAGCTACAGTTGAAACCGATGCCAAGAAACACCCGGCTTGCCTCCAGGGTGCCCTGGGGCTCTTTGGCTTCGGTGATTTCGCTGTGGAAGGCGTGACGCTCCCACACCATAAGTCAAGGGACGTCCTGGGGCCTCAGGGTTGTGCTTCTTGTGGAAGGTGTCTCGTGGTCGAGATCCTACTGTGCAGCACGTGCCAGGAAGAAGCTAATTGTGCGTGCAGGCGCGTGGGGCGCGAGGGCGGCGGCCTTCCAGGAAGCCCCTGGGGGGGGGGGGGGCATCTTGGGCGGCAGGTGGTCTTTTGGAAGCCCCCTCTGCTTCAAATAAGTCGAGTCGGAGATCATCTGCAGAACTGGTTCACCACAAACTTGCAATTGTCGTCGAAACTATGGGGGAAGCGCGTGGAACAATCTAGCATATCGGCGAACGTGCAACGTATTTTTTGGTCGAGTCGCATTCTACGTATTTCCTTCAGTTTCGACAAACAACAATTTCGGGCACATCTATTTTGTTGTCGACCTCGAACTCCAATACTGTTTCTTAGGAGCATCCGCGCCCTTGTAACCACCCCGCCCTCTTGAGAGGACGCCCCCCTGTGCTGCCAACTGTGCTGGCCATCCTCCTGTCGGAGCTTAGGCCGAAAGTCTAGACGCTTCGCGTACAGGGGAGGCCCATGCCAAGAAACGCCCTGCCTGCATCCAAGGTGCCCTGGGTTTCTGGGGTCTCGATGCTTTTACGACGGAACGCGCGACGTTCCCTCACTAAAAATTAATGGACGACCTGGGGTCTCAGGATTGGGTTTCTTGCGGAAGGTTTCTTGTGGACTGGCCTCCACTGCAGACGCTTCGCGTAACCCCACCAGACCATCCAGAAACGATGCCCAGGCGAGTTGCCCTGATCAGGGTGTGGGGGATGCACGCGGTAGAATATAAAGGTTGGGAGGCCGTCGTGCCCCGAGAGGGGAGGAAACAGGGGGATCAGGAGGAGGAGGAGGAGCAAGGGGAGGAGGAGGAGGAGGAGGAGGAGGAGGAGGACCAGTGTAAACCCATGACTCATCGACGATGCTGCAAGAATACCCGCCCCCCCAAGTTCCCTCTACACGGGTTCATCCTCACTGAGGGAAGTGCCCCGTTGGAAGACAACCGTTTGAAAATCTGGAATTATGCCAGAACGCCATTCTTGGGAGGTCTACACAGCGTATCCATGTGATTGTTTCGCACTGGCTCTGCGACATCGGGTCAGAACACCGCTTCTGTGGCACTAGCGATGCGTATTCTTGAAACTCGTGCAAACTCTTGAGCAGAATGCGCGCGGCGCTAAGGCGAGCCACATTCGGAAAAAGGAGCAGCCTTCCATTCGTGTGCGTTACGCTGTGGCGAGACCAACAGTTTGAAAACGGGCTGCACTCCATCCGTGAAACCTTTGCACACTTTTAGGACGAATGTGCGCGGCGCTCAGGCGACGGCCACATTTTGAAAACGGGCCGCCTTCCTTTCGTGAAGTTCGTGCAATTGTTTCAGACGAAGGTGCGCGTCGACTGGGGTTTCGTTTTGTGAGCTTTCTGTAGTTTCCGGGGGGCTCCTGTGGCTCCCGCAGGGTTTTCCGGAGCCTCCCTTGGAGTTTCCTAAAGTTTTCTGCGGCTTCCTGGGGCCTGAAGGGGTTTCCTGGGGCGTTACGGATCTTCCTGGAGCGTTTGAGCTTCGGGGGGCGCTTGCGGACGTCTGAGAGCGCCTGGGAGCACTGGGGTGCGCTTTTGAGGCGTCTGGCGGTGCCAGGAGTTCGCCTGCGAGCGTGTGGAGAAGTCAGGGAGGGCTTGGGGCCGCCTGGGGGGCATTCGGGGTTGTTTGGGAGCGTTTGGGCGCTCAATGTGGGTTCGACATATCCGAGTATCTTACAATCCACTTCCCCACCGCCTCACTCACATATCCTTCATTGTTCCCTCTCGCGACCGCGACCTCTTGTGGTGTCATTGGGCGTCAATCGCGACAGCCCGCAGGGCTGGCACCCCCGTCAAGGACGTCTTGCAGCATCCCGGGGGCGGAGCTTTTTCGGCGGCGAATGCAAAACTACCAGAAAGCTTTGAAGTTGGAGCTCCCATCAAAAGCGCGCCCAAACATGCCAGGACTGGGGGGCAGTCCTCCCTCAGATGCCGCATCCTATGGAGGAAGACCCTGGTGTAGTAGCAGCTCGGCAGCAACAGCTTCAAGAGTATGTGGAGAAGGCCTCGAACGAACCTCTCGCCGCGAAGAGTTTCGAAACAATCTTGAACGACCACCTGGACCCCATCAAGATTGATATTCCGGCAATCAAAACACATGGGGCCTCTCAACAGGACCTTCGCAAAGCCACCGAGCCGCTGCAGCAGGACACCGAGAAACTTACAACACTTATCGGGCTGTTGGAGTCGAACTACGCTCCGAGATTGGTTTCAGCAAAGACTTTCGCAGCATCATTGGACACAGCTGCACAAGCAACAATCAACATGTGGAATCTGAGCTGGAAATCTCACGGCAACAGTGCGCTTCCTCTGGCTACCGTACCGAGCATCCAAAACACGATGGAGATGGGAAGCGCGCGTTGACAGGTGTCCTTGGTAATTTGGATGGTTTCACCATATTCAATGCTGCACCGGCGTGGCTCCGCGATCAACTTTCAAGTTTCTATGGACCACTCCCAAACAATGTGTGCATCAAGGGCGACACGATGACAGCATTATACTCTGACTTTGATTCCACACTGGACAGAGACACCGCCGCGGCCTTGATCTACGCGCAATGGAGACACGGTTTGGGCGACACCTGACCGGCACCCGTTGGAGCGGGCAGTTCGGAGTTTTTGTTTCGGGCTCAAGCGCATGCTGAAGGGCGCAATGGGACTCCCATGCGTTATTAGAGTTTCACACGAATCGCCGCGTCAGGTTCGAGTGGGCGGTGAGCTAGCGCTTCCTGTTGCGACCGACGGCGCGAACCTCCAGCGAAAATGGGCCGAAAAGTTGGCAAAATGGGAAGAACTCCACCAACGCGGCGATTTAAAAGAACCTGTGCAGAAATGTGACGGCTTGGCGAGCAGAGCCACGGCAGGTTTGAAAGGAGGCCCTAAGGGCCAATCCAAAGGAGTTGCGAAAAGTTGAAGTACGGCCGGCGCCGCCGGAGGCCTGGACTGGCACCGATGCCGACCTATCACTATCCCAGGCGACGACGGCAGGATTGGCCAACTATACCAGCCTGCCTCAGGTACCTCATGGAGTTCACCTGTCTCCGCAGGCACAAGCCGATGCTGTTGCAGACATCTTTCGCCAATCTTCGCCACCGTCTTCTTATAGTCTGGGATCGGCTCCGGAGGTGGGCAAAGATACTGCGACCGCGAGCCTCTTATCTTCGATACTTCCGCTCGGCACTGGACGCGCGACGGGAAAAGCTACCTCCACGCCCGCCCCGATTTGTTCATCTGTTTCAATTGCTTCTTCAAATGCTCGTTCATCATGTCTTCTTGCCCGGGAGTTGTTCCACGGGGAACACCCCGTGGCGACGCTGTTTCGCGCGGCACCTCCTCTTCTCCGAGTGCCCGAACATGTTGGGGCAAGTCCCGACGTTCTTGCAAACCCTTGGCTGCTCGGCGGATCGGCCCCGGGGGGTCTCGGAGGCAATTCGGCCGCCAGATGTGCGGGGGCGCTTTCGAGCCATGGAATCCAGATGCGCAGACATTTGTTGCATCCAGGAGACGCAACTACACGGAACAGATGTCGACAACAGTGGGGGATTCTTGATTTGTCTACCTGGGGGGCCGCAGGCAATTCAACATTCAGCAGCCGGGTTTGGCTCCGCCGCGGCCCCGCGCGCCCGGAGTGCCATTGTTGTTTGCAGGGCGCGCGGGTCTAGATTGGCGACGCCCCGCGTCAAAATTATGGGGGGGGGCGGTTATTCTCGCGACCGCCTGCGCCCCCCACCGCGGGCGCGACCTGGGCGACGGGCAGGAGTTTTACGACGGGCCTCAGAAATCGATCAAGCCCGCCACGCCTCGCATCACTACAGTTGCAATGGGGGATTCACAGCGCTAAAGAGGGGCCGGAGAAGAGCGCCATATTGGACATCGCGTCTTCCCAGCAAAGCCTGGGAAGCAACTCGTCAATAAAGCAGCGAACCGGCAGCTCTTATTGGAGCGTCGCATCGCGCATGGCTCGGCAATTGCGAATGCATATTTCGACGCTTCCGTCGAGGAGCGCGCCGCGCGCAGAGGATTGGGCACAGCGCTGATGGACGCCGCATCTCCGGAGGCTTTCTCGCAAATTGACCACGTGCCATGCCATTGCTCAGTTCTTCCAGTGGTGGGCGGGCGCAAGACGACCCGGCTGGCTTCGCTGAGCAGCCACCATTGTCTGACGATTTCATACTTATCTTTATACTGTTCTCGGGGGGGGGCGGAGGAAACGCGCTGCAAAGTCTCGCGCGCCCGCCGCGTCGCAGCCTTCCGCGGAGGGAGCTCTTACATACGAGTTCAAGGCGTCGTGCGCCACTTCGGGGCCCCCCGCGGACTCGCTCGACGGCGCCGCCCGGACATCCGAGGCGGCGTTCGAAGAGGCTTCGGCGCATCTACCTGCGCGCCCTCGCCCGGCCCGCCGTCGGTGGACATCTCCAGGCGCGCTGGGGCCCGTCGAACAACGAAACAGCTTTCGCCGAATTTGGGGGCCGCAGCGCAGAGAAGAACGGCAGCAAGCTGGCGCGGCGATCTGCTCAGGAGGACCGCGTCAATTGACTGGATTCTTCCTTGGAGGGCGGGGGGTGGCAGGCAGTTCGACCACGACGGAAGACAGCGCCTCGCGCGCGCGTCGGCGCGAAAGATTTGGACGGGAACCTCGCGGGCGCAGCGGCCGGGCCCGTTGCCTTCGCGGGGCGTTTGGAACAGGTGCAATGGCGAGAGCAGCATCCTGCGCTGGCACCAACAAACACAAGGACGATTGGAAGCACCCCCCCCCCCCCCACACACACACACACACACACACACACACGCACACACGCGCACACACACACGCACACTTATCACTGATACATTTTCGCTGGAAGAGGGCAGCAATCAAGAAGGTGAAGGGCAAGAAGGCTGCCGGGGCAGACGACGCGCCACCAGAGTTCTGGGATATTCTCGCCGAAGATCCGGAAGCATGTGGACCACCAGTGTGGCGACCAATGAGATTCCCGAAAATATTGGGCGACCAATGAGATTCCCGCAACGTGGAAACGAGCCCATATCATCTTGCTCTTTAAGAAAGATGCCGCCTCTCTGCCATGCAATTACAGGCCGATATCCCCAGGTGCCGCTGGGCACAAGACGCCCGCGGCAATGATCGACCAAAGACTTATCGAAGGCGGGCGCGAAGGAAGACTGCGGGAGTCCCAATTCGGCTTCCAGCCGAAGCGCGGCGCGGCCGATGCTATGATGTTAGTCCTGCGGATGGCGGGCGCTGCCCGCATGGGCAATGGTAGAGGACTTGCGTTATCATCGTTGGATTGGGCCAAAGCATTTGGTCGTCTCAAGCCAGACTGTATGTGCAATGCTCTTACAAGATTCGCCATGCCAGAACTAATCCTAAACGTGGTGCGGGACATCTACGCAGAGCGCTAGTTTACGATGCTTGACCGCTGTGGAAAATCAACCGAGCGGAAACAATATGCGGGGTTTGCCAGAGGCTGCCCACTGCGCCCATGCATGTTCATTGCTGTGCAGACTGTCATGCTTCACGACGCAATGGCCGGATTGGCTCTACAAGCTGAGCCGGACTACGTCGTTGCCCGGGATGTCTTCTACGCCGACGACATATTCTTGGTGTTTCGACCAACGCGCAACCTGGAACGCATGTTGGACGCGATCGTCACCGAAGGACATCAGTACGGCTTGGAGCCGAATTGGGACAAGACCCTGCAGATCAATGTTTCGTCTAACGCGGAGATGAGGGGCCACGCAGGCGAATCATCAAGAAGGTGCGGGAGGCAGTTTACCAGGGGGCCTGTTATCGTGCGACGGCAAGGCCGGGAACGAACTCTCTTTAAGGTTGGGCGAGAATTTGCACATTTCGACTCGTCGCGCAAGTTCTGGTTTCAGACTTCAAGTGGGAAGTGCCGGAAATCACGTATTTACTATAGCTGCGCAGTTCGCAAATTTTTATATTCCTTGGACTCGCTGTGGCTTTAAAAACAGACAGTAGCAGATGATATGTTGTTCGCTGCAAGTGCATTCGGAAAATTCAGGGCATGCCACATCCGTACATATTCAGAGTGAGTAGCCAGGAGCGTTTGGGAAGAGCGCACGGAACACACTTATCTGCCGCCCTATTCGAGAAACAAGTAACATTGGATGGGTGAATTTCAGCAAATGGGAACCACTCGCTGGTGCTGAGAATCTTATGTCAACACGACGGTACACCGATGGGCGGTCCATCGTCGTCGCGGTCGGCCCCGGCAGCAATGGGCATCGGAAGTGCACCAGGGGACGCAGTTTCTTCTGAATTACATTCTCGTCTGAGTGGTCTGCCTCCTCCCTTCCTTCCCCCTCCTTCCGTTTCCTCCGTCTCCTCTTGTCTTCTGCCTCGCAGTCGTGATGCGCTCCGCTTTCCTGCTTCACACTCGAGTCCCTGAGCGCACGCATTCGCTCTGCGGGGTGTGCCGTGTATTTTTGCGAAGAGTTACCAATCGTGCACTCTTCTGCCCACGCGTCCTTCCGGATGCTAGGCTCAGTGGTAATGAGCGCTCTTGGAGCGTTTGGGAGCGCCTGGGAGCGCCCGGGGGTCTGGGGATTCCTGGGATCGCTTGCGAGCGCCGTGGGCCGCCTGGAACCGCCGAGGATCGCTTGGGCGCTCGTCGAGCGTCTGGAAGGACCTGGGCACATGTCGGGCGTCTGGGAACGCCTGGTAGCGCCTGCGGCCATTCGGGGAGCACGTGGCCCTGTGTGGGAGGGTTTGGGCGATCCTGGAGCGTTGGGGAGCGCCTGGAGCGCTCGGGTGCTCCTGGAGCGTCTGGGAACGCTGTGGAGCGCCTGGGAGCGTCGGGGGCGCGGATCCTGCAGTTTTTGCCCAGGATCGCGGCGTCGGGGGCGCCGATCGTATGGTGTTGTTTCGAATATGTAATCAATATTATGGGTAAATTGTTCGCCAGGCTCCGCTCGCCCAATGGAACCTCCAAATCTTGGTCTTGAGTATATGGTGCCGGCGGGCTATTTCAAAGACTCCCCGCGACGCCGTTTCGATCCAGAGAGGGGGTCTATGGTGCTACGCACCAGGCGAGGAAAGCTTGGCCAGTCTTCCGCACCGCTCGGAGGCGGCCGAGCTAATTCTCACCCGGCGACGTAGTGCATCTGGCACTCCGCTGAACGTTCCGACCAGTAGTCGCTCGCCGCCTGACGATTGTCAGGTCCGACGTTCGCTCTGGAGAGAGAGAGAGAGAGAGACAGACAGACAGACAGAGACAGAAAGAGAGAGAGAGAGAGGAAACAAAAAAAGAGAGAGAGAGAGGGAGGGAGACGGAATTGGAGAGAGAGAGGGGGGAAGGGACGGAGAGGGCGGGATGGCCTTGCCCTCCCAGACAGGGATGTGCTTCGGATTTCCGGCTCATGTCCAGAAAAACACGTGCGATGTGCGGTCGTTGGGCGGAAAGATTGGCAGAGGTTGGACGAGGGTGGCTTCGGGCCACGAGACGGAGCACACCAGAAGGCAGGGACGAGGTACTTCACTGCCGGCTTCGGCTTGGGCGGCATCGCCACCGTAATGGCGGGCAGGGGGGGTGGATGGGCAAGGGGATTGGAGAAAGGGGATTGCAGTCAGAATCGTTCATGGGGACTATTGCATTCCAGCAGGCACCCTGGCATCTTTCGTCGGGCCCCCCTGCAACCTCATTTGGGTACTGTTCCGCTTCCGCCCTTTCATTCTGCGTTGCTAAGGCCTACCAGTAGCATCTCTGTACCCCAGGAACTATAGGCCGAGCCTTCTGCCGCGGGTAGCCCTTTGTATTTCCAGGGCCTGAATCGGCCCGTAGAGACCGAGGTTCAGGGGGAACCGCTCGTCGCACAAACAAATCGCCACGCCTTGAGATGTATTCGCTTCGCTCATTCCGCTGTGGGCCTCTGTGGGGGGCCCTTCTGGACCCTGGTACCGTCAAGCCATGTTCCAGCTAGGAGAGCCAGCCTCAGGGGAGTGAGCCGAGAGTTCCGGGGGGCAATGCTCGGAACAAATGGAGCTGCGGGATGTTTGGTGATGCGCGCCGATGTCTGTGCATGGCATCGGCCAGTTCGATTCCAGCACGCTTCCCCAAGGGCGGTGCGGCCCCTTCTCCTCTCCAGTCGTTGTGCTTTGCGTCTTTCACCCCCCCCCGCACCTCTTCCGCTACCCACTCCCAGCCCATCCCTGAACCTCTTGTTCTGTCTCCTCTCATCCCCACCTCTCACTCTCCTACCCCTCCTTCCCATCCCGATTCGACCAGTTCTGTTGTACGAGCGATCGGATAGATTTGTGATTGAGGGAAGCCCGTGGACAATCACGAGGAGGGTTGCGGAGGAGGACGTAGGGGAAGGGGGAGGAGGAGGATGCAGATGCGGCGGAGAGCGGCATGGGGAGGAGGAAGAGGAGGAGGTCAGGGAAGAGGAGCAAGAGAAGGAGAATACGTCGGAGGACATACGGCCGAAAGGGATCGCATGCACCCAACCGCGAGGATTCCAAGCACAGGGGTGATGATAGTGCAAGGCGGGGGCCCTCATCATAACCAAGGTCGCCAGTCCAGACAGAGAACAGCCGCACGCAAGCGTCAGTGTCACGCACAAGCGATCGCTGTGGTGCTCAAGCCGCCGCCACTCGGATTGCGACTCGGCGTGAGTGCCACATGGCGCCTCGCCGTTCCCAAACAGCAGTGCTGGCCTCCCTGGTGTTGCCACGAACAACATCACTGAGCTCCTTGGTGTTGCCACGGCGGCCGGGCTCCCACGGGGTGAGCTGGAGGTCTGCGAAGGGATCCACCAAGCTACTGGGTGCAACTTAGGTTCCCAAAAGACTTTAACAGCGTGGAGCAACTGCTTAGACTTCCCCTTTTATACAGACTCGAGAGATCCAGCATCAGCACGAAACCATCCCTCCCGGCTCTCACACTGGAGCGTTCGAGGCAATCTTGCACATCGCTTTTGGCACGCGGGGAAGCCCCTAGCAGCACAATCGTTCTCGTTCCAGGACGCTGGGAGGGGGAAGCTTGACAGCTTGGGGGTGGCTCATACTGCACAAACAATCAGGGGACGCCAGTGTCTTCGACTGACCGCCGAACCTGTGTTAGCCCCGCCTGATAGCAGCCATGTGTCATAATTCCTAGGTGCGGTCATGCCCACTCGGGCCTCTCCACGCAGTGCCTCCCTGTCTCTTGGGAATACATGGCTTGAAGCCGATGTCGCCCATCTGTAAGCCCCTCGCGGTCCTTATGGCTGGAGTTGATGCCTCCACTTCTTTATGTTGTTGCTCATGCTCCTCCCCACTGCCCCCCCATACTGCTATCCTCGTCCGCCCCCCCCTCTTCCATTGCTCGTCACCCTTCCCCTATTCTCGTCCATTTTGCATCCTGTACCATATTCATGTCCTATCCTCCATCGTCATATCCATTCCTTCCCCACCTTCCATCCGACCCTCCTCTTCCGTTGTTCATTCCCCATCCTGCCTCGTGTTGGCTGTGGCACCAGGGCGTGTGGGGAGGGACTGCTGCGGCAGAGCTCCGCGGGCATCCAGAGCGTCTGCCGGAGGCAGATGCTGATGACGTTGGAGATCCCATCTAAGGACTTCGCCTACCAGTGGGTCCCCCCCCCCGCGAGGAGGAAGAGGAGGAGGAGGAGCAGGAGGAGGAGGAGGAGGAGCAGGAGGAGGAGGAGGAGGAGGAGAGGAGGAGGGGGAGGAGCAGGAGGAGGAGGAGGAGAAGGAGGAGGAGGAGGAGGAGAAGGAGCAGGAGAAAGAGGAGGAGGAGGAGGAGGAGAAGGTGGAGGAAGAAGAGGAGGAGGAAGAGGAGCCGCGTCTGCCTTGCAGGCCGATGTCCAGCAGCACTCCAATTGCTTGGACACGACAAGAGTGCGCTACCTGGCGGCGGTTAAGAAGCTCCACGCGATAGTCATTGTCGACGAAACAGGACCGCCAGTGGCAGCACGCAAACTTGTCTGGCCCAAGCTAATCGATGACCAGGACTTGGTGCTCGGCGGCAACACCCCTCCTGATTGGAGGACCTCAGTGACGTTATGACTCCAGAGGACAGTGCAGATGCCACACGCAGGAAGGAGCATCTCCAAAAACAGGCCCGTGAGGCTGTGGCAAACATGTTTGTGTCGCTGCGTGACAGAGCCACGGAGCTCAGCAAAACGCAGCAGCACCCGCAGCAACTCCAGGCCAGGCTGGCAGCGAAACAAAGGAAACCCAATGCGAATGGAGACGCCAGTGCATCATCTGTAGCTAGGACCCCAGCAGCAGAAACGAATGTGGAGGAACGGAGGAACGATATGCTGCAGAGCCAGATTGGGTGCCAAGCCAGGGCGATTTTGCCAAGGATGGAGGGGAATAGGATACCACACCTGACGAGCCCTAGCCTAAGCCAAATTCGACGGTTCAGGCAGCCAATGCGAAGCTCGAGCAGGTGGATTCCAAGGCGACGGGCAAGGGCACGCCGCGTCCTCAACAGCCAGCCTAAAATTATGTCCCGCTCAGTTTTGGCCGCTACTCCCTTGAGTGTTCGTGTGAATGAAAAACCCACTGAAGAAGATGCCCGTGGGTTCGCCGACACAGTCGACTACGAACACAACCGCTCCCGGCAGAGGGCCGAACATGACATGCACGCATCATATTCCGGCTCTTATAGCACAGCACCAGGTTGGTGGAGAACGAGAACGGTGCCCGCCAGAAATGGAGGCGCCATGGTTTCCCCCTACGTCTTCAGCATTTTGGCGAGAAATGGTTTCCTGGACATGTTAGGGCTCACGGCTCTGGCGCATAGATACGATGAATGGGAGGCGCGTGTGAAGCAGGCGCAAGACATCTGTGGCGGCACCTGGGCTGGCCAGGCAGGGACAACAGAGCGCTGTTTGAACCTTCCCCCACTCGAGGCGAGCAGCGGCCCCGACCGGCAACTGCTAGGAAGTACACATGCGTGTTGATGGCAGGCAGGAGCCGGCTGAACGGATGGATGCCAAGGGTCACCGTTTACGCCTGGGCCCGCGACGCTTGTTCAGCCAAGCGTGCCAGGACATGCCACCGCGACATCGGCTTCGGCAGCTTGGAGTGGGGCGGCTGCCCCGGGCGCGGCGGCGGCAACGGCGACGCCATCTGCGGCGGCGGCGGCAAGTAGCGGTTCCCACCCAGTCCTGTCTGATCTGCCTGACGGAGGCATGCGCCCGCAACCTGTGGAGCATGGCAGAAACGACGGGCGTTTGGAGCGACCCAGGATTCCCATGAGGGAGAAGGTCTAGAGATTTTTCTCTTCGAACGCGAATTCTTCCGCCAGATTCCAGGGCAGCCCCGACTGGCAAGTGGCCGCGGGCCTGAGTTTTTTGCTGGACAGGAGACCCGTCCTGGCGTCCTCGACTGGGGGCGCCGATGGCTGGTGGGGCCTCCTGGCTCAGCAACAGATGGGGAGTCGATAGCTACCGCTGTCAGAATAGTCGACCACGCCCTGGCTGCGTCGGCTGAGGTAGTCACGGGTGTTAGAAAGCGACCTTGCGCCCGTGTGATCCCTGATTAATGGTTGGGGCCAGGGCCAGTGGCGACTGGTTGCGTAGCTGCGCAGTTTGCCCGAGCGGTCGTTCCATCTGGTACCCACCGGGTTTCACTTTATTCGTGTATTGTGGTAGGATGTACTGGATTGAGTTTGCAGTTCTTGGGCTCTTCGGCAAAAGCTCTGGAGACCCCGGGAACGACGTGGATTTTTGCCGGGGGCTTCAACGTGGATGCGAGCTCGGATGGTCTGCGCTGGCGCCGTGAACTTCTAGGCGCAGCAGCGGCGGCGCCCGCGCAGCGCCAACTTCCAGCGAGCAGCGCGCGGATGTGGCCGTCGCGTGGCAGGGCATGGCCAAGGCGGTCAAGTCGGTGATGGGCCTGTCTGCTGCTCCTCAGTTGCCCGCGTGCCAATCCCCCTTCAGCTCCAGAGGTTCACTTTGGATCGGGCGGCGAAGAGCAGAAATGCATGGGTCGTTTTCCCCGCGCCCACGTCTATCGCACGCGCGAGACTGCATTCGGAGGTATATTGGTCATCGGACCTTGGGCAGGCACCGGCTGGACTCAGCTTCGAAACGGCTCGGCGCGAGCGGCCCACGCACGCGGGGGCCAACTCATGCGCTAACAGCTTGACATTGCGGGGCCTTCCGGAGAGCATTGCGTGGGCAGGGCAGAAGGGCCCCAGACTATCATGGCCCCCTAACGCGCCGCCCCGGAGCGCAAATGGCGCGCACCTCGCGCCCTGAAGCCCAGATGCTGGAGGGCCTCTGGGGGCCCTGCTTGCCCGCGTGGAGAATGTTCGGGGCCAACTTGAAGCGCGCCCTGAAGGCCGCCTGGCCGGCTAGAATGCCAGAACATTGGTGGGGTGGCGCTGGCAGGAGGGCATGGATTCACGCGCCGCGCAATTGAGGCAGCCCCAAGCTGCTGATGCAGTCGTGGGCCACGGGTCCAAACAGGATTGGAATCGACGGCAAACGCGGATTATGGGGGCGACTCTGAACCGGGGGGAGGAGGCTCAGCCATGCCCAAGACAATCAGCATCTCAAGCCATTTGCAGATGAGGCGGGCCCCCCGCGGCCGGGGGTCGACGCAGCCCAGAAGCTCGTTGGTGAATGGGGCGTCTACTGGCAGGGCGCCCGGTCGCGCTTGACAGAAGTTCAGGTGCTGAATGCGCGCGGCGTTTCTTCCTCGACCCACGCTTGAACCGCTCGATGGATCTAAAGAGATGCAGGCATTCTGCGGGCCATGGAATTGACGGCGTCAGCCCGCGGCCCCGGCTGCATTCAAGCGTTGACTGCCGCCTCGGGTAGCTAGACGTGCTGAAGATCCGGCACCCCCAGCAAGCGGCCCCTAATGATTGTCATCACGGGGGGGCCAGAAAGCTCCAAAACGAGGCCCACAGCGCGAGCCATGTGGATTTTCAGGGCGCGGGCAGGACTCCGACAGGATCTGCCAACGCAGCGGGTCCTTATCCACCGCGCCCCCGAGCTTTGGCGGTGTTCGACGAGAGAGTGCGACGCGACTGGGTGGGGGCATGGAATGTGCGACCTCTTTTCCCAGGTATCCGAGGTTGACTCTAGGGCAATCTTTTCGGATCTGTTGAAGTTCCACGGCGGGGCACCCCACTGCCACCTCATAGATCAAACGGGGGAGGCCCTACTTGTTTCTGCCAATTCGGCCGACCTGCGCGCTGTATACCCGGCCCAGAACCACTCGCGCTTCAGAGTGTCATATCGGTAGTCTTCCAGATGTATGGAAAAGCGCTGGCAGGCAGCTGGCCGGCGGCGACGACGTTTTGCCGCGCGACCTCCGCGCCCCCCCCCCCCTTGCCTGGAACTGCCAGGCAGCGATGGTTCGAAGCGTTGTGGGCGACGCGCGCCCAGGTCGCCTGTGCCGGGGGGTCTGCGGCGGATCCCATTGGCCAAGCTGGCGTAGCCTTGGCGGCGGGATATCGCGAGCTCGAATTAGCGCTCGCAGAAAAGACGCCGCGCTGCGCCCGCCTGGCCCGCCCTTTTCTCCGGAGGCCTCTGACGCAGATCCTCGGGGCCCCGCGTCGCGGATGGCTGAACAAGGAGGCGCAAGGATGACTGGCCAGAGAGGCACAAGGAGTACTTTGATTTCCTTGCAGCAGCGGTGCCAGGCGACGCAGGCAACGCGCGGTAAGTCTTAAACCGACTCTTGCCAGCTGCGTGGCGAAGCACGCGGCGCGGTCTGGCACAAGAGGTTTCGTTGCGAGCACTGGCGCAATGCACGGTGCGAACACGTTTCGCCATAATGTTAGAAGCTGCTGCGGCTATACAGTTGAAGGGCCAGGACCTTCAGGAGGCCGCATGCAGCCTGTTCCCTTTTCCCTTGGAAGTGGCCCTGCGGCCCCCCCTGGGGCCCCGAGGTGGAAACCGCTGGGCCCCAGCAGCCTGAGTGCGGATATAAGCCAGGACCTATGTTCACATATGGCTCCGCCCTTTAGCGTGGCGGAGCCGCGCAGCTTGCAGGAGATGGAAAGCTGTTCGCCGCCCGTTTGGTCCCGTGGCGCGGCAACTGGGGCCCGAGCTTCGGGCGATGGTGAATCTGTGGCCAACTTGATGGCGGCGCGGGGCTTGGTCGGAAGCGAAGCAGTATTCTGCGTCGACTGTCGAGGCACAGATATCTGTCTGAACGACCGGGCGCGGGCCTGCCATCCGTCAAACTCCGGGTGTCAAATCGAGGAAGAGGTCCACAGGGCCTCTCTGCGCGGCGCGAGGGCGGTCAAGGCGAAGGCCCACTTGCCGTTCAGTGCGGCGGCGGAAGGCAAGATCTAGCGTTCCACTGGGCTAGGGGCATGCCTGCCGACTCGTGCGCGGGACAGGGAGTTGCCTGCCACCCTGGCCCAAACCCCGCTCGGGGAGCATTTCGGGGCCCCCACGAGGCAGCCCGAGGCTTTGCCGAGCGGGCCGCAGCGCAGGAGGTCCCCACTGCGGAGGCCAGGGCCTTCAATCCCCTCCGTCCCCTTCCTCCTTGGCTTCAGGGCGGCGGCGGGGACCGCGGGGGCCGCGCGGGGTCGGGCGCGCCCAGGGGGGCGGCTCCGAGGTCGCCAGCCATCGGGAACCGATTGCTGAGTCGGCCCCCGATCGCGCCAGCTGCTGCTGACGAACTGGCCACGTTCGCCGCCTTGCAGGCCCGCGCTCTGCAGGCGGCCCCTGGTTTCCTCCCGTCTGGCCCCCCCCCGCCGCCCAAACCAGAAATTTGATTCGCGTGCTCGACGCGTGGGGGCTACGCGGGGGGGGGGGGGGGTCAGCCTGGCACGAAGATGCGACCGCCGCCCCGAAACGGCAACTTGTGCGCGGCAACGTATGGGGGCGTTAGAAAGACGTTTCCCGCGCGGCTCGAAGCGGCACTCGGGATGGACAATTTGGGCTTGGAGGGTCTCTTCGCCGTAGGCTTTGGCGGGTCTCTTGGCGCCGAACGCGGGCCACCTGATCCCGAACAGAAGTCATGCGGCGACCATGGTAGAAATCCGGGGCCCGTGTCCTGATCTGGGCGTTTTGTTTGCATATAGCTTGGCTTCAACGAAGACGGTCTTGAATTGGCTTCTCAGGAGAGGAGGCGTTCATTTGGCGCTCGTCATCAGGACGAAGCACGAGTTTCGTCAGTTTGCTTGTCCCGTCGAGTGCCTCTGGCGCGTCGGCATCTAGGAATGAGCCGCGTCCGCCTTTCGGCTCGCCCGCGGGCTCGGCCAGGGCCCAGTCCCGGCGCGCGGTGGCAGACTGAGCGAAGCCCCGGTTCTCTCGGGGCAGCTGGCAGGCCGCAGCTGCCTCGGCCCCGGTTTCGTCTCCGGCAAAATTCGTCAGGCAGGGTCCCGCGAGGCTCTCTGCGGGTCCCGGGCCACCCCCACGGGCGATCTGATCGCGTTCGCGGGCTGGAGAGGCACCCTTCTCCAGGGCGGCGGCTCGGGGGCGCTGAGATCACCGCGCGTCGCGCAGCGCGGGCGCGGGGCGCGCGAAG